AATATTTACACAGATCAGGAGCGGAATGGCGCCATCAGAGTACAGTTGTTACCGCCGTTGTCATTACACTCGTTTGTAGAACAGTACTACCAGGTTGGCGGGTCTCCAATGCAGCTTTTTCTGCCGTCTACATGTGCTCGCATATAATGTGTATCCCCGTCGTCGTAGTAAATCAGGACCAATTTCTCCGCTTCGCCGTTCATTTCCCATTAATAGATTGCGGTCAGTTCATTGTAATGGCATGACGCATGTGGTTAACTCAGTTGCTCTCTTCTCACTCAGTGTTACTCTTTCTTTCTAACCGTTTACCATATATCTTCCGGCTGCAGTCCAATGCAGCCCCTATATATATGGTATTGTCTGCCTATTGCTAGCATTACAATACAGAGACTCACGAATAGATGGATTAAAGTATGATTATTGCTTGCAACAAGGACACAGACAGGGATAGCGTTAGAAACGAGCTGACCACTTAATTCTCTCCTCCTCTTGTCCTTGGCTACTCGTGTCTTAAGGGCTTGATCATCTCAGATCACTATAAGACAGTAAAGTTGTACTGACCAGGTCAAGTGTTAAGCAGTGGTGAAATAGATTCACAAAGATCGTTGAAGAATCGTTTAAAAATGGGACAAAACGGGGTCGCAATTACCGGGGTCGCGTTAATTACTTTGAATACCTGTTGATGCTCGATAATAAAGGTTAGCATTTTGTATAATTGTTTACTATTTGCACGGCTGAAAATTGTCGAAAGCTCTTTTCTGTGATCTTCTGCTATTATAATGAGTTCGAGGTCTAATAATGCGCATTCAGAATTATTTTACTTCTTTAGTCTCTCGCCTTAATTGATTTCTGATTAGAAATAGGACTGCGGGATTGGAAGTAAGTGTTTGCGTCGGTAGTGGCATGTACTCTTCCAATGAAATTGCTCCATATATATTGTTATAGAGCACTGAGATAGAGAAGCAGGTCATCTGGCGCTGAAAGGTTCAGAACAGGACTATCCGGGTGTAAATTTGATTGAATTTGGGTCAGCGCATCCAATAGGATATTGCTCTCTATGCCTGAATGAACCGTGTGTTCTCCTGGCATGACCCATAGGATTCATCAAACACGTGATAGTTACCCGCTGAAGCTAGTATTTGCGAAACTTGAATAGCATTAACAGGAATCGAATGTTGCGTAGGTTTTCGTTAGATCAAATATAGCCTACGAATAACGCTCGGAATTTTTAACCAGATATGGCACACAAGTTTCTGCAGCAACTCAATACATACATCACCATAGAAACAAACGAAGGACAAAATCGTTACTCTCATATTCATTCATTTATATTATCTGAGCAACATTGCTAAGGTTAAAGTGGGAATCAAATTTAAATAGCCTAGAATCGGTTCTGCAGAGGCCGTACGTAGTTATAAGAGGAACACTTTTGTTCACGACGCTACAGATGAAAACGAATGAAATGCGTTCTCCTTCATTGTGGCTATTTGTTCTTCTGCGAAAAAGACTTCGCTAAAAATATTTTGAGTGAATGAGAAAATTCGAACGCAAAATTGGCTTATAATTTTTAACTCTTCAGCCATCACCGGCATACGCAATAATGATATAAACCTGTGTATTCCGTTACCATGACAGATGATAAAGTAAATTTGCATTGTCGTCATGGTAGAATGACACTCAAGGCCAACTACGGTAACCTACCGTTGAGAGCAAGGATTTCCAGTGAGTATCTTGAACTACCCACCAATGCATCTTTCCCGTTTTTGCCATCATGACATTTGGAGTTTTCTTGTACAAATATTCTTAGTTAATAAACCGATTTTCCAGAATCAATTTTTCTACTGCTACACTTTTCTAAATAACTTTGTGATACTTTGTCCACCGCAAGAGTCCATTACGTGGCAATCGAAAGCGATGCGGCGACAGTAAAGCTGTCGCTGTAAAGTAATTGCTTTCCGCTTACCAAGGGATCATCGACAAGCGTTCAAAAGGCGATGCCTTATTCATCGAAGTACAGAACTGTCAAATTATTTTCCCTGTGGGCTTTCTCCGTGTGGAGCGTCAAGGTCAACGGATCCTGATAAGTACCCGAAGGCTCAGTAACGATAATGCCACGTCTATATAACGAGCTTAGTGCAGCAAATAGACAGCCATCACGCACGCTTAGCGGAACCAAATGGCAATCATACCCTTAGTCGAGCTGAACATTGCACGGAGACTTTTTGGCCCATCTCTCGACACAGAAGAGCGACCGATCTTATGGCTATTTCTCGGTTTCGGTACCCATTGTCCCTTCCCAAGTCAAAGTTATCTTTATTTATACGAAGACGCGTGATGTACTGCGCACTTGCTCAGCCTGTCAGCTGTTGAATATCATGGATGACGCCGGAAGTCAATGGAAGGGCGATAGGCGAGCCTACAAACGTTCCTTTATGTATTCGTTGGATATTCGTTTGTTATAAGGGGTTTTTAGATAGCACCATTATCACCGTCACGTTTTGATCACCTCCCGCTTTTGACACTTGCCCATTTCGGGAAGTGAGACGGTAGCGGAGGGACGCGGCACGGCGCGGCGCGGTACATTCACTCGCAGGGATCTATGGTACGATTTCTTCGATTTTTGAACAATATTGATCGTAACGAAGTGCTCGAACTGACTTCTGCACTGTGAGGTAATTGTAAGCGAAAAACAAATAAACGAGGTGACAGGCAGATGATATCATTTAGCGAGTTCGTGTGAAATTGGCGTTATCCAGGACAAGGTTGGGCTCCCAGCATTATACTGACGTTGCCACCATTTCAAAGAAAGACAAACATAGAGCAGTTCATGAAATGTAGGAGTAGCAAGGACGGCTTTGCCGATTTCAGTATTGCTCTGATACAACGAAACTCCGTTGATGGTATAACGACATTCCGGCGACAAATTCGGCTGTGAATGCAAAAAAAACTGTAAATAATAGTAGAATTTTCGCGTGTCACCCCACAAGTCAATTATACACATGGCTGTTTGTACTCGCTTCGTTTTGTCATAAGGCAGCGGACGTTTCATAAGCATGCTGTATCTATTCTTATATGTAGATAGGTATAGATATCTATAGACTCCTATAGTTTGCTTCTGTTAATTTTTGTGTTAAACGGAACTGTCGTTCAAGTTCTCGCAGCCTTGCCGTAAGAACAGACGAATATGTGACATCATTTATGGGATCGTTGTCGGTTCACTTGTAGAATAGAATGGTCAATAGTCGAAGCCTTCGAGCGTTTATAAAGCAAAATATTAAAAACGTCTCGTGGGATTTTAATAATTTTTTCTTTTTTCGGTGTATAAAAAAATTCTGAACACGTCGATTTATTGGGCATATATAATCTCTGTCAATTATGCACTTATCAGTGAAGACTAATTTCCTCAAGTCGCCGAATGTAAAGGAAATTATAGTTCTTGTTGTCAGAAACAAGTGTTACTAGCTCATCAGCATCAATCATTAGTTGAAAATATTATCACAATGTATGCGCGCTGCTTGAATTGAGTAACACATTGAGCGATATCTTCTGTTTTTCATTCAATATCAATAAAACTATTGATATTTTAGAGAAGAATGTGACGCTATCTACCTAAACAAGTTGCTGTTAAATTTAGGTATATAAATATGTGTCTCAAGATTTTTGGTATATATTTTTAATTTCTTTCCAGTGAGCGTGCATAGTCCTCGCCACATGGGCCACTTCCTAATTATGCATTTGATTTTTCTCACGGCAGAAATTAAGCCGGGCAGTTGGTCATCTGTTGAAAATCCATTTCAACGAATTTTCCTGAATCTAGAACACCCGCTTACTGTATGAGAAGTGAACATGATCACTGTAATAATCAGACGAACATGATCATGCATTGCCAACGACGCGCTCCTTGCCCATAAGAAAAGTTCGTTCAGCTACAAACAAGCAAATGCCCGTGCAGACGAAAATCGTGAAGCATAACAGTGTATGACAGAGAATAGTTATACGTATGTGGAACTTGAAGCTAGCTCTTCAAACTTGAGCTAAGTACTAAATATATAGATAATTATGAAATAGGGCAATGACAACTAATTTTGTTGAAGTGTACGTAAGTAGAGGATTTACGTTTCTAATAATAATGACCTACCAACAATTTTTTCAAGCTTATATGTTATGTATCTCGAATAAGTGGCAACAATGTCCACACCATTTTCCCGGTACTCCCATTTCAAAGGTTAATAGAGTTGTATATTTTTTTAATATGGGAGATAATGATGTGCAATGCATATAAAAATAATAACAAAAAGAAGCAAACGCAGACTCTTAGCAGGAACCAAACGCTTGGGGTGGTCCTGCCCCTACTCGCAGAAAGGATTTGAGTGATAACGCCCGACAATGCGAGTGCAATGACTGGTTAAACAAATGTCTGGAGTAATGATTTCATTAAGTTTAGAACACGCGATAACTTTAGGCATAGCAATTACAAGAGGATGAGAGCTTCGTAACTTGTACAGTTTGTGCTTTTTACGCGCTACCACTAAATTCGTAAGTTGGGGACGAAGATGGGCTTCTGTGCTAGCCTGAAACGGTTGTTATCTACTGAGTTTAGATTTTGGATACGTGAAACGCAATGATACGCATGGAATGCATATTTTAGCTTGGGGTACTATTGCTGCAAAGCGGATTAATCTTTCGTACCACTCATAAACCAGCCGCTAGAGTCTAAAATTGGTAGTAATGGGTAAACGGTTTCGAATAAAGATAAGAGCCTAACGACCTTGGCTATGTGTCGTACGTGACGTCAATTGCCTTCCGAAGCTTATGTTGAGAATTACGTTATCTATCATTTTTACTGGTCATCTAGGTCATATAAACAAGTTTCTGTCAATCTAATCTAGGAACAGTGTACGATGCCCGAACAAATATGTGAAACGGTACAACCACAGAGGTGAAAATTAACAATTCAGCTTTGTTACCCTGCGTTTGTTATGCCTGATGAATAATTTCAGTTATCAGACAGATCGGTTCGCGGTGTCGGAGAGCACGCCAGTCCGGATCATCGAGAATTCGTTCATGTAATTTTAATATTACCGGATTACCCGGCACCGTACCTCATAAGTATCGTCAGCCTGCGCTGTGCAAAGTAGACCCGAGGCATCCCGTTGATCCGATTATAGACAGCCCATTTCCAACTATCACCTATCCACTTATCCATAACAATGTCAGATCCGGCAGCTGGAGCAGCCGAGGCAGCTGTTGAAACTTCGGTATTGTTAGTAGGAGCTGTGGATGTCGCTATACTGGCAACACTCGTCGGAGCCGCTTACTGGTGGTTTTTCCTTCGGAAAAAAGATGACTTGTCATCATCGTTTGATGCGGCCGCCATCAAAAGCTTCTCCATCGAGTACGTATCACTCGGATTAGAACTACATCATTCACAACCGCGTTTTGTGGTACCATCTGTGACTATATTGAGTATGTTTATGGATGAGCACTGCACTAGGATTATTTCACATAACGCATCACATATGTTTACGCATAGATTTCTGGCCCAGCAAACTGGAGACTCAATAGTTCAAGCACCACTCACATTGTCATTTTGGTTTTCGTTCATCGCTGTAACAAATTGATGTTGTATTGGTATCCAACACATCCTGAGACCATTGCCAAAAGTAATATACGGTCTCCATATCTGCTCAGGAACCCGACGTCATTGCAGAATATGTGCACATACATATTTTGTGATAATAATAGTGTAGATGTAGTACGTTTGTGTGAAGACACAGAAGAACCCTTCAAACTCGAATTTCGCTGCTTTAATAGTATGTGCAAGGGTCTTCCGTATAACAAAGGCGAAAAGCCCTATTTGTTCAATTATTGTTGAAGGTGGTCAGCTGTGGCTAGGTCTTGGGATGTCCTTCTCAAACAGGTGAAAAATCTGGATGATGTAAATGCTCTTTTTGTAGAAAATATAATCCAAAAGCAATGGTATTCAATATAACGTCGTGGCGTTTGTCACGATAATTATTACACAATCGCATATGCAAGGTGACAGATATAGCACGATTATTCGTATTATCTAAATGAGTTTTATTCTTGATACAAAATATTCGCTTTGGTAATCACTGTAGAGGTTCTATGAACCGCGAGCGGAGCAGTGGCAGCTTCATCTCAAAGATGAGAGCTCATGGACGTAACGTGGTTGTATTCTACGGTTCGCAGACCGGAACTGCCGAAGAGTTTGCGGCACGTCTTGCTAAAGAGGCAGTTCGTTACGGACTCAAAGCAATGGTCGCTGATCCGGAGGAGTGCGAAATGGTACGTTTCCTGATGTGCACGAAAAACAACCTAAACAAAGTTTCTGTAGTTACTTTTAACTCAGTCAAAAAGGAAGTACTAAGTACAAATTGGCTTATCCGTTCAACTTAATGTCTGGTTTAGTTGGGCTTACTTGCGACCTCGATTTTACCTATTTTAATGCCTCATAAAACGACGTTTGTTGATAAACCAGTATCACAATAGCAAGCTAGAACGCGAGCTTACAATAATACATCGACATCTATCTTGCAGGAGGAGCTGCAAGAACTCAAAACTATCTCCAACCATCTGGCGATCTTCTGTATGGCTACTTACGGTGAGGGAGACCCCACAGATAATTGTCAAGAATTCTATCAGTGGCTGCAAGAAGGCTCTGTTAACTTGCCAGGCCTTAACTATGCTGTATTTGCCCTCGGTAACAAAACTTACGAACACTACAATGCTATGGGACGATATGTGGACTCGAGGCTTGAGCAACTCGGCGCTTACAGGTAAACACACCATGGAAATTAAGTTAGCAAGGAATGTTGCTTAAGTTACTTTGAAAGATGGTTTTTGACGAGCATTACGTATCGCTGTTTGCCATTTAAAAAGGTCTACTTTTGCCGCCTGAGCTCGAGCTTAACCACCATTCAGGAAGCATGCACCAAAGAATGTAAAATGTACGAAGTGTTTTCCACAACTCACGAAAACACAACTCCCCCTAATAAGCGAATTGCTAAAAGCACAATTTGGAAAAGGGTTACAGATCTATGTGATGTTCAGGAATAAAGTGAGAGAAAGCTGTGATGAGAACAAAACGCTAACAATAATAAATATTTATTTACCAGCGTCGTATTTCTACATAGACTAATATTAATTATTCATTGGGAGGCTTCAGTAGGATGTTCATAAGTGATTTCAAAGAGTTTAGGAACATTATGTTATCGGTCCGCTGTGCTTCAGGGTGTTTGCACTTGGAGAAGGTGATGACGACGCCAATATTGAAGAGGACTTCATTACGTGGAAGGACGATTTCTGGGCTTCTGTTTGCGAACAATTCGGACTTGAGGTAATTGCTTCAGTTATCGTAAAAAGCTTCACTAGATTTATTAGTACGGTACAAGACACTAAATACAAAGCCTAGACACATGACAACAGAAACATTTAAGGACAGACCGTTTGTTCGGGGCAAAATAGCACTTGTAGCCGTTGAAAGCTATCAGCATTCTATTGTAAAGGATGACGTGATTTTAAAAGCGCTAATCACATGTTGCTGTGGCAGGTTTCAGCCTCTGATTTGAACATGCGCCAGTATCAACTAATCGTTCACGAAAAAGGCTCTTTGCCAGAAGACAAAATTTACCATGGGGAAGTGGCTCGACTTACTCAATTCACTAATCAGCGACCGTGAGTTAAATATTTACTCTCTTTGTTCAGTTTCTTATTTTTTGAGCCTTTCCTAGTCGTGCTTGGCTTTAATTCAGATGCTAAAATACTAGAAGTTACAGTACTTATGGTCAAGAGCGAATAACAATAATAATAATACTGGCTACAAACCGGAATACATTTCAAAGCAAGGTCATTGCTTTGAGCATCTTTTTGTAAGTTGAAACTAAGAAAAAATATTACCGACAGGCCTTTCGACCTGAAAAACCCGTATCTAGCAGAAGTGGTTGAGAAACGTGATCTGTATAATAGCGAACGGTCGTGCCTTCATATGGAATTCGACATAGTTGGTTCGAAGATGCGCTATGAAACTGGTGACCATATGGGCTTCTATCCGACGAACGACAGCGCTCTCGTGGAAGAGCTGGGGAAACTGCTCAATGTGGACCTCGATCAGGTAAGTCGTCAGTATAATATAGTATAATACAGATTAGAGATAGATTCCACTGCAAGAACGGACTTTCTTATAGCTCCTAGCGTGTACTACACCAAGTGGCATTATTGAAGATAGATCTTGTAATGTGCTTAGTAATTTGCGTTTCGGCATAGCCTTTCGAACAGCATAAGCTGCTGAATGTTCGTTGAAGGTCTCGCAGATACAGTATGATATGGGTAACTATATGTATTTGTTATCGATTTCCATTTGCTGTTGCCCCGATGGCGGTGATCAATCAATAGGTTATCACTTTGCGCAATACGGACGAGGACAGCTCAAAGAAGCATCCCTTCCCTTGTCCTTGTTCATACAGGACTGCTCTTAGCCACTACGTGGATATTTGTACAGCTCCGCGTACACACGTACTCAAAGAGTTATCGGAGTACTGCTCGGACGAGGTCGACAAAGCTAAACTCAAGGTAAAGAAACAACATGCCCCGCCATTGGAAAGAAATAACTCGCCAACTCTTCGCATCTTTAGAGACAAATTCAAATTTTAGCTGACATACCTATTTATGTGAATAAACAGGATGACTTTGGTACGTTTACCTATTTGACAAAGTGACCTAAACACATCAGTGACTTGCGAGTGGCGGCATGAGTTAGTATAGAACTGAATGTTGATTGCTCAAGGTGATGGTCTGTCACCTGCTCACGTGAATATGTGCGCCCCTGAAAGCGAATATAGTTACTTTTTCAGGAGGTTCAAACGACCGAAAAAAAAAAGCCTGATCACATATTCACCTGCCTGTGAAATTCTCTGAACGTCCCTTTGACCTTGTCGCCACTGTGGTTTGTTTTTCCCATTGTGCCTTAGTTCAAACGTCATGGTTTGCCTATTGAGCTCAGTGTTCGAGGCTCTCTTTACCCCAGTGGACACTGGGTTATTCTATCCTGGTAAAAGTTACTATTCACAAACAAAGTGAGTCAAACGTCAGAAACGATATCGGAGATGTGAATGTTTATTTTTATAGTGATGATGGTTAACACTAACTTTCTCTGCGAAGTCTTTTTGAACGCAAATTAGCTTCTCTGAATATCATAGCTCCGAATGCGTGACACCGACATATGCTTTTAGACGATGTCAATATGAGGAGAAATTTATCGACGTCACGAACATATAGGGATATGTTTTGTATTCTCGTAGTAAGTGGGGGCACTGTAATGACTCGTGCGCCAGCTGGATGCCCGATTCGGCAACGAGACGTTTTACTAAACGTTTGAAAATAAACACAGAGAATAAATATGCTCAGTATAATCAGAATCACTCGTTTTGCAGCTAATGTCTTCGTCAAGTGCTGAAGGCAAGGCCGAATACGCTAAGTGGGTACAGGAAGCGTGTCGTTCTATTGTGCACATCCTGGAAGATTTACCTTCGTGCAAACCTCCGCTCGATCTCATGCTTGAGTTCATGCCGCGTCTGCAGCCAAGGTGATCGTTAAGTCGAAAAAAGTGTAGGCATAAAATAATATGTCTGTACTATGTCTAACAACGTTCGTTTAGTAGGTACCTTTTGACAGGATACGTTCATATAACATCAGCGGAACTCCTATTCGCTGGACTACGGGAGGGTAGATTGAAACAAAAAAACTGAGTTATCTGGCCATTTGTAATATGTGTATTAAATACAGAATTCGAGATTCGTCCTGAGCATTTCATGTAAACAGCGTTATCTTGCTATCGATTTTGTAATCTGTTTAGGTACTATTCCATCTCATCGTCATCGAAGGTCTTCTCCGAACGCATTCATATCACTGCCGTCAAGGTACAAAGAAAACAGTAAAAATAACACAAGTGATTGTAGTATTCTACTACCATAATAATATGCATAACCTGTGTGTATGTCAGGCTTTAATTATAAGCAAATAATCATGTTTTTGTTAACAAAGGATATTTTTAGGGTACCAGTACTAAAACGGAATAGCACTGTTGTCTCTAGCTGAATCACAAGTAAAGCTATATGGGACTACAGCACCTATAACTAGGCTGGCGCTTAATATTAACTTTACTCCGTATTGATTAGTTCCAATTAAAATTTAAACCTAAGCCTTGTAAATAGTTACCTGTACAAGTATTAATATTTATATTGTTTCTCTCAATTGCCATCAGGTCGACTACACGACGCCGACGAATCGGCATATCACTGGTGTCGCCACTGGGCAAATGGCCATCACCAACCTGAAAACGCGTCTGCCAATTTTTGTTAGACGATCCCAATTCAAGCTTCCGACGCGGCCCACAGTAAGCATTGTGCAATTTCCCACCAGAGATAAAACTATTTGTTTACAGATAAGAACATTATTTTCACGATAATTAAATCTAAACCGACCGCTTTCTCTCCAGTGCATGCTCGTACCAGTGTCGTTCCACGCCGGGCCTTTAATTTTCAGTTATTTCCTTTAGGCACCAATTATCATGGTGGGTCCGGGAACTGGCCTAGCTCCGTTCCGTGGCTTCTTGCAAGAACGTCAACACCAACGCGTCGTAGAAAACAAACAGGTTGGAGAAAGTCACCTGTTCTATGGTTGCCGTAAGAGAAACGAAGACTTCTTGTACCCCGAAGAGCTTAACGCTTTTGTTGCTGATGGCACCTGCAAAATGTATGTCGCGTTCAGCCGTGAACAGGAGCACAAGGTGCGTTGCCTAGATCTTCGTCTTTTCAGAAATCTGCTGCGCTCCGACACGATTGGTTAAACAATTATACTTAATTATGTGTTCTATGATTCCGGAAACCCTCTGGACTCGTACTGCGTTTATCCACAATGTTTATAGTGCCATTCAGAATTTAAATTGTAGCTAAAGAAACGGTGTGCCTGGATCAGTGCGGCCATTTACACATTAGAATATGTAAAACACACAATCGTTTACATTTTTACATTTTTCAGTAATTCATTGATTCGATTAAGTGCTTGTTGCGACAAGTCATCACAATCAGAACGATAATAATTCAGTCACACACAGCCAACTACTTCGCTCATTGTAACGCCACGAATAAGAATTGTCTGAAATATGGTTATTCTAGATCTACGTGACGCATCTGCTCGCCAAGGAAATGGACCTAGTGTGGGACGTCATCGGAGTTAAGGGAGGTCATTTTTACGTGTGCGGTGATGCTCGTACAATGGCACGCGATGTCTACCAGATCGTACTAAAAACGTTGCGAGAGAAAGGCGGTATGAGCTCCGCCGATGCCGAAAAATATTTGAAAAAGATGGAATCACAGCGCCGTTACTGCACTGACGTCTGGAGCTAAGCAGTTGGTATCCAACGCAAAGCTGTATGCCGAACAACGAGGCCGCATTATCAACCCTATGCATTAATAAGTCGGGGATGTACCGACAACCTGAAGGCTCCCGAAACCAACAACGAGTTACTACAGTTTATCCACTCTTTTATGCATTTGCGCGGCGGTGGCGCAACAGCGAAATTCACAAGTCATCTCAATCCCCCCTTATTCTAGATCCATTTTTTCCAAACAAATTTACTTATACCTTTTATAGTGGCAGTTTGAGATGGTTGTATGGCTTAGACGTGAAAGGTCTAATTAACAGTACCGAGGTTAAGCACAAAATAAGTTTTTTGCTCAATGATCCGCTTACAAAACTAAGTATTTGGTTTTGTAATGATTGTACTATTATAGTGCTTATTTTTATTTTCTTAATAGGTTTAATATGAGGCTTATTATGAAAATAAAAATAATTAACCAACGATATAATGGTGGCCAAGATCGGACCCTTCAAATACACGTCGTTTCAAGTATTTGACGACATTTTTGTGAACGCTTAGGATCTGCTAAAAGGGGAAACCATTCGACACACCTGAACCACGAACTCGTCGCGGAGGGGTCAGGTGGGTCAGGAAATTAGGTGACTTCAAGCTGTGGAACATCTGAAGCAGGTGAAGGGCAAGAAAAAAACACGGAAAATATGTTCCTGAACTGTAGAATTGTGAGCGTGGAGGGCTCCTTGATTTTCTTGGTACATAATAGGTCGAAAACTCATCGCAACAACAAATGACTGCGAGAATTCAATGTACAGATGTGGCGCGGAAATAATACATCAAGGTCCTTTTTTGTTGTCATTGATAACACAATGCGTTACAGGAACAAGGTTGAAAGAGCTGAAATACTGTAGAGAATATCTATAGTACTTCCAAATGCTTGAGTCAGTAAACAGTCTTGTCCTAGGCTGTAATACTAGAAGGATGAATAAGAAAAAACGTATGACGTTGTACGCAGCGCAATACTTCACAATACCGAGTGTTGTATTTCACTATCTTGTATCTTGTAGTGCGCATATTGGGACCAGAATGAAAGCTAGACTAGAAAATAAATAGTCAAACTAAGTACCATCACGTAACTTCAACTTGGACGTAAATTATTAGACAATTACTGTACCGCATAGGGGGCTACAAGGCTACGTAACACTCATAATAAAATAATTTCAACCCAAGCCGAAGCCGTAATGGGAGGGCTTGCAGTTTAATAGTAAACTGTGACGACTTTGAATATAAATATCTTGTAGAAAAAGTTTATCCTACCAGGTATCTTGTGATCCCTGGCAGAAAATCAACTAATGCCTTTTCGAGGAATGGCTGGCGACTAAACTCGCCAAAGATACAGGTGCATTATTAACGGTAAGTAGAACATCTAAGGGATACAGGCATTCAAAATGATAAGATTAGAGGGCTATGTATAGTAAAATGAATAAATAGTCTATGTTTAGCATTTGTTTTAGGGGATGGGGGAGACGAGTAAACGATGAGAAAACTACCTAAATTGAAAATAGCGAATTAGGGAAGACTAAATCTTGCAAAGAGCTAAGTAAAACTTACCTATCTATAAAGTAAAACTACCTATAAAGTGACATATATACTTTCAATAATAGCCACTTGACCCTTTTTTAAGCCATCTTCAGTCGATGAAGCAATAGGGCAAAGTAACGTTGCTCAACAGCAACTGGTGGAACGAAATTATTATTTTTATAATTAATCAGTTTGTTGTGTGTGTATAAGTGTGTGCGTGCGCATCTGAACGCTGTGATCACGTTTATTAATGAAAATAATTAATAAAAATGATATTAAATGATGACAATAATATTGAATCATAACGAAGTCTTGTATTTCAACCAGCTAAGCATTAATATGATTGTATCGTATCGTGAATCATTCAAGGATCTAAAGCTATTTATTTCGCCAAGTAAGCTCTGGTAGAGTGTTGTCCGTGTGTGTCAACTGAAAGTTCCGTCAACTGCTTTACCAACACGTATCAATCATCGGAATCTAGTAGAAAGTTCAGTGCATTCAATAAGACACGCACTTAGGCGCACAGACAGATTTCATAAGACAAAAATAAAATAATCATTGTTCCTAAATGTGTTAATGCTATTGCATTACTTTTGGAATACGTTCATTTCGACTATAAAAATACTGCCTGCTCTTACGACTTGTCTTTACACGCAAACAAATCACTTCGAGAGATCAAATTGTCTGTTTTCATATTAAGAAAAATTCATCCATCTTGCAACGAAAATACGTTTACCTCCGCTACCTTTTAATTTAATTTAATAATGTAAATATGCAAGTTAATTGAAAACTATAGAACAATTATATTGAAATCCTCAAATATTTTCATATAGATCAAACGAATAATTATAAATGTAGCCGCAACGTCATGTATTCAGTACGAAATAATTTTCAATATAGATCAGAAGCTGTCGAAGATTAATCGAACTGCATTAACTTTTGATGATGGTTGTACCATTATGCTTTCCGTCATAATTGCACCATATTTAACGAAAAACCGAGCGAGATATATACAAATAAATTCTACAATTATGGGTATGTTCATCCATCTAAATTATTTAATTGCTCAATGAAAGGTGTAGTATCAATTCCAGACAGTAATTAAGTAAACTCAGTTATCGAGTAAACGAACAATAACGCCAGCCTAAATGATTTTTTTACAGCCACAAAAAAAGGTTCAAATAAGATTTTGATAGAAGATTCAAGAAAAATCTAGCTAAAACACTAGATAGTCTCTTTGGAGGGCAGCCTAAGTTTGAAAGGTCGTTTAGTCTACTTTTATATTTATGTTAGGTTGAGTTTTATAACTATATACAGAACACAAAGTCGAATGATTCCAGTTCAGCGCTAATGCTTTTTCCTTCGTGTTATGCATCGTGTGTCACATGATGATATTTAAAGCAACGATCACTTTATCTTCTTTGCTTTTAGATACGGGGTTTACGTTGTTCATTAGCAAAACACACTTAGCAATGACTATTACATCTATTATCATGTTCTATTCCGCTTCCTCTATCTATTCACGCGTCGCTTCTGCCACTAAGAATATCTAGGCCAACGGCCACTGGCGAAATCTATACCGCCAACAAAGATCATCACAATCATCAAACAGTAATGGCAGCCGGGCGCGCAAAAACTAAATAAACAATTAAATAAACAATTGATTAATTATGGTGCGTTCGCTGGCTAGCAGTGAAGAAAAGACAAAATACAACAGCGTTGTATTAACTGACGCAGACGGGAGACGTACCGAAACCACTCCCGGTAGTTTCGTTTCGGAGCAATTCGCGGTACTAGATTTCAATGAAAATCAGTGGATGGAATCTGTGGAAAAACATTACTATATAAGAATCGACTGACAGATAACAGGTGTAGATTTCAGCTAGCGTAGTTGTTGACGCTCCGCGCAATATTGCAAGCATCTGGTGTGTGTACAGAAGCTGGACCGTTACTGTGTAATAGATTATCTTTGACGTGATTTTATCTATACAAATTTCAGAAGAATGGTTCGCTGTTACTACATGGACTCGTCAAATGAAGATAAACGGTTGCCTCACGAACTGAGCCCGCCACAGAATGTTGATCTTGAGACGTTATACAAAAAGACGGGGGTTTTGTATTTCAAGGTGAGCTGTACGTGTGTATTGCGACTATTGCCGAAATACAACGCTAGTGTTAACTAAAGAACGATGCAGTTTTTTTAACTGGAACTAATTAAAATTAGTTTAAATGTACGCGATGTGTTGTAAAAAAAATAATTAAATGGCCGCAGGTAGATTTCTGTGCACAGCCCTATCCTATGACAAAGAACCTTTCGCGTTCACCCAGTCAGTGCCTGTAGACTTTGTTATTATATTACAACTATTACATAGTTATAATATTCAGGCAATTTTTAAGTGTACATTTAGCATCGTTTTACAGAAATCTGAAAAGACGTGTGTTTACATAGTTGTATGCATGTGACAAGTTCGTATGATGAATGTTCCCACAGTCATACAGTTGCCGTTATAGAGAAGTGCCCAGTTATGCGTACATGTTGTTTCTATAGGTATATAAAATTCTCTATAGATCAGATATCTTACTACCGACATACAAAATGCGATAGACGTAATTATAAAGAAATATTTATTATTATTATGCCTTTTTATTAAGGCATCTCTTTCAATTAATACTATGGAAAAGATCGTCCAAGCTATTTGTGGATTCAAAAAACTAGTTCATCGTAAGGTTGCTTAGTTGGGCTGCTGTAGTGGCTTGACAACAGAACTACGCACTTTATACAAGGGTGTAAGTATTTCGTCATGATGATCTAGTAGCGGTTTTGGTCATACGTTGCGTTGTTTGAGTCTATCTCTAACAAACTTTGAATTTAAAGCTATTGATGGAAATTAAACAGCTAACAAAGTGGCAGTGGGATTACTGTTAAAATCCGCAAAATTGATAATCTTTTTTCACGCGGCCTTAGGGTTGCCATAATGATTTTCATCTTGCACGCATTCACCACCGTCGCTCAATTTATCAAGTTATCTCAAGCCCCGATATAGATGATTACGAGACTCTTAAAAAACCATTCTATTTCAAGTATTTTTCTGGTCTAGTGGCTGTTTTTGCCATGCTGATGATGTAGCCGTCAAGCTCAACATCAGTTGTGGGGAAGCATCCAGAAAGCTAACTCCTAACCAAACCAGCCTTGTTTAATGCTTCAAGTTTTAGTACTTCTTTCAGCCGCCCATTTCGACGAGGGTCGAAATGAACGGGTTCATTATGCTTACTGTGAAGCTTCCTGTTCAATGCACTGTACTAAATGATCAATCTACGGCTTTACTGTATTCGGAAAATATCCGTGCATTTGTCAAACTTTTGAAGCATATTCATGAGAATCTGGGCCAATCGAACAGAACTCCTTGTTGTTACTGGTCATCATCCTGTCGGTTTTATAAGGACAAGTACTCTTAGCATACGTAGATTATCAGCATAGCCGATGAAAAGTTGATTAACGTTGTCTATCAACGGCAATTGCCGCCATGCCTTCATTGTAATAGCGACTTGGCGCTATGGTACGATGCTTTCCCAAGTATTGCCCTTCATCATCATCGGTATGTCCGGTTGTGAGAGTAAAATGTTGATGTCTATGCTTGAACAAGCCAAGCTTACGTCGTGAAAATATTATAAAATAGGTTAGTCCGTTGTTGATAAATAGCTCATTGGCGCAAACTTGCGTATCGAGTACTAGAAACTACTAATTATAATTATACAGAACATGATGAGCAGGCTCATTAGCCAGCGATGAAATTGAAAAAAAATCGGCGTTCAAGTATAAAAGCCACTGGATATACTCGAATTGCAAGAATTGCCGTGTAACGCCCGATTTGACTGATCTTTACATACGGCTTCCTTGAAATGTGTCAGAGTATTCCTTTTCGGGAATAAGAAGCACCTTTTGTGCAAGCCCCAACAGCTGCTTAGCCCGAAGCATCTTTCAGTAGCATCAGCCTTTGGTGGACACGAGCTCTCGCTCGTGGCGCCACTGGCATCTTCAATAGCGTGATACCTTATAACTGAAGTTCAGCGAAGAGTATCGTAAATTGCTGACGATTTGTCTGGCTCTTTATTGTCGCTATTGTTTTTCTCAAAAAACATGTTCAACACTAGAAGTGTACGTTACGTGTACTATCGCGTTATGCACGAGTCCTGTAGTTTCCTGTAGCCCACGATTTCCTGTTATTTCTTTGATTTCCATTAGCTTCCACAAGCTGGAACCTACCACGGTGCACTTCAGTGTCTACTACGCGCGTTTTCGAGTGCTCCGGAAGTGTCGAGAGCCGGCGTGACGAAGGGCAAACTCTTAGGGGACAACAGGCAACTCGAATAGAAATTGGTTAATACTCACAGTCAACAACCGATCGCGAGGCGTTCGTACGAAGTAAACGGAAACTCTTAAAAATTCGCCAAAGCTTCTTTGAACGTTTGCTTAAGAAAAGTAACCACGCCGGGGTCTGGGTGTTGCGTGGGAGGTTTTTCATTTTAGCGGAACATTCTAAAGGTTAAAACATGCATTTCAAATACAACAGAAATTGATAATTTGGGTCTGGGCCATGGTATCCTTCAGAAAGTGCTCCATTAAAAATCGTCGAAAAAGCTACTGCTCGGCTTCGCTCTTCGTTCATAGAAACCTCAGCGACAATCAAATCTGTTCATTGCTCCAATATTGTACCCACTAATACTGTAAATCTATCAGCTTTGCCAGCACATAAACGTTTATAGTCCGCACTTTGTACGAGTGTAATCGTCAAGCTGAGATGCAGCAAGTACCATGCCTGGCGAAGGACCCCGTCGTATATTAGGAGTTCCGCTCACTTTGACCAGGAAACGTAGAGTAGAACTGATGAACTCGAGCAAAATCTTGGTCTCTAAGATGTGTCGTTTTCCCAATAAATAATAAAAAAGCGATTTGAGTTGGAGATATTTTATTTTGGGGGGTGAAAAAACAGCGAAACAAACATATGGTATTTTTTTAGTTCCTTATGCCTTTTGCAAGTTTCTTTATGAAATCTACATCACTTCACACTGATCCATCGGCAGTTATTCGTAGACTTCAGTTCGAATGTTTAAAGAGAGAGTCCATGTTTCTTACGATATTTATAATTTGTATATATATATATAATATAATAAATCTTGAACTTAAATAATTCTTAAATAAATTAAAATTATATCAATTATTTAAGTTTTAAGATTAATTTATTAGTATTTATTTATTAAAAAATAAGCGTTTGTCAACAGAAGGCGCTCTAAGACAGAATTATGTTAAGCATTAGATGGAATAAATCTTTATACACAGCATCATTAAATCCCTTAAAGACGCTTTGCTGTCTTAATAAATCTAGCAGACCATCCATACAAGTACTGATAGTAAGCATGCTGAAGGATTCGTTAAGCCGAAATTTTTCTAAATTATTTGCATCTCAGATGTTATTATAAACCCAATATATATTCAGAGGAGACGTAAGCGCATGTATAACGCACGCAATATCTTTTAAAATTTCACAAAGTTTTATATCGAACCTGGTTTGAGGAACCGCAGTAGTTGTTATTGCTGATTTTTTCTATATATAAAAATTATAGACGAATTCATCATAGAGAGGTCAGAGCGAAGTGCGTACACCTGTTAGCGCTCATAATTTGACAAAAATCGTTGCCATGGCTAAAGTAAAGAGGCTTAGCATATAATTTCCTCTTTAAATTTCGCATATACACATATACGTTTCTGTCGAGTTCGATGATGAAGTTCAGTATGTACCGTGACCAAAGTAAAGTGCTCTTACTGTTTTAGCTGGAACATATAATTTACTAGGGCAAGCAGGACAAACAGGTTAGAATACAGAGTAGGTTAAGCTGAAATCGATGGCCCGCCGTTTCGGAATAAGCCTTTTATATTGGTGTACTCCTAGGTCATGGTAAAGGAGCAGTAGGTAGACGCTTCTAAAGTCCTAGCTAGAACTTTCTGAATGAACAAAAATAAAAAAATCGTAAAAGATGTAAGGCATGTATAAAAACTGACCCATGTTTTTAATAAAATATTTTTCCGATTGCCTCAAGTTGGCCTTTGACGTTATTAAAAAATATTTAGAAATAATAAGTTCTACTTTCAAGCCGTATCTGTTCTACGAATATGTACATGTAGCACGTTATTTCAAGATAATTGGCAGACTTGTTTATGTGCAACGACAGATCGATGAGTCGGATTGGTCCGGCCCCGAAGCTATGGGTAAGTTGAAGGAGATTCGCGAGAAACGTGGCTATACCTACCAAGATGTGTGCGCCATTTCTAAAGAATCGCTAGGTGAGGCTTATGACGACAAGATTAACATGTTCTACAAGGAGCATCTTCACACGGACGAGGAAATTCGACTCATTGAAGAAGGTGCTTAGTTATTGCATATAGATGATGAATTGAACCTAAGAAACAACCGAAAAGAAATTAATAAATAGCTTACTTAAAATTAAGCGTATGACTTAGTCTGGCGCCACAAAATCGTTTTGAACACTTACTAATCGTCATGCTTGACTCACTTAATGTAGGTAAATACCTGTTTTACGCTTGTGTCGATTTCGTAACAGTGTTCTTCATGACCGTATTTTTGCTCAGGATCTGGATACTTTGACGTTCGTGATAGCTCAGACCGGTGGATTCGTATTCGAGTCGAGAAAGGAGACATGTTGATTGTACCAGCCGGGATCTACCATCGTTTCACAGTGGATACCTCGAATCAAATCAGGGCGCGACGTTTTTTCGTTGGAGAGCCGGTGTGGACACCCATTAACCGCCCAGCTGATGAACAAGAGGCTAGAAAGACCTACCTCAATAACCTCGAGGAGAAATTCAGCGTCGGTATAGGATTTGCCTAACACACCTTGCTAAGTAAAAAGGACACTGCGAAAATTGCATAACGGCCAAAATACTCGTGTTTTCACAATACGCGAAAAGAAGGATATGATAAGTATATGATACGGCTTATACTAATTAAATTTACGTTTATAAAATAAATATGATTAGTGAGTTGCACTTTTAATAAAGTGGCTGCAATAAAAACATTGTCTGTTATATTGGTATAGATTAGCTTTAGGTAGCATTTTGACCTACCTTTCATTTAAGCACGATTATCAAGCGCTCAGCGGGATTATAGGCTGCTATATTTAGCTGGAGAGTTGTTTGGCCAGTTGCATAAATCGGGTCGATACCTTAGGGCAATAAGGCCAGGGACATGGTTGGTCTGTCGTTTTGTTCGTTGGCTTTGCCTTTTTGTAACTTGCGAGACCTACATATCTAAACTGTAATCTATTATTTGCTGCTTTTAGTTCTGGAGCAGTGATTTGAACTGTTCAAACGAATTCGAGTATGAACGTCACCCCATACTTTTACTTTTATCGTGATATTTGAAGTGCTATTAGATTAAAAGGAAGAAATTGCTAATAATACTAATAGTAATAATAACGAATAAAAAAACGTGTACGTCAGTCACTTCTATTGAGAGTGACCAGAAAATATGATGTGTTTACATGTATGTACCATATGATTCGAACATGCCCTATTTTTCCAAATTTAGTTTAATTCGCCGAACGATCTCTGTGTAAATGATAGCCATCTGGTAACTAAACTATTATTACAATTGGATTTCTAATAAAATGTTTTAGCAGAGAGTGCTATGGTTAAGTGTCGTGATATCTCATAAAAAGTGTCAAGCGCAAAGATTGGCTAAGTATTAGCACGGTATTAAAATGAATACACTAAATACCCGTGTATGAAATGTCTAATCATGTGGTGAAGAAAACTAACAAACATCTTGTCGTAACATTAAACTGAGCGCTCGATGCTTGCCGCCATCCACAGCATCGATCTGGTCAGCTTGATATATGTGTCACTGGGATGAAGAGTTAATGATATGGAAGAACGGAGAGCATATCTAAAGTTGGTCTAAACAGAAGATGCAGTCGCTCAATATAAAGGTGCCGGTGGCTTTCGGACAAATAATGCAATTAATTATCTCATAGGGAGCAATTTACTTTGCATTCGATCGTTTCTCTTGGCCGTACGACAACTTGCGCTTATTGATGAAGTGCCGGCTTCTATTGGGTCCTTCAATACGTTTTTTAAAGCTACGAGAGGTCGGTCGAAAGGGAACATATTAATCCACAGTAAACGAGAGCATGCTTGTGGATCATAAAATAATAATGTAATGTTCGCTTCATCTCGTTATTGGCTTAACTTGCAATAATAAAGAAGCCACTTCAGGACCAAGCCTGAACGTCAGACCCAGCGCAATCATTGCTATTCATGCTTGACAGCTTTGCAGGGTGTCGCTCTGACGAACTCAATTATAGAATTTTACACAGGTCATTTACTCTTATCAAGCTATAAGGTAATATTTAACTGACAACGAGTAAAGACTGGGCCATAAATATACGCAATTTGGAGCTAATTAATAAATAAGCAGCAAATTAAATCAGGTTGTTAATGTTAATTGTCGTTACTGGGCGAAACTGTAAGGCTGGAAAATTGGTCGTCTGAATGTTTTTCTGCCGATGTTCAGGACAAGAAAGGCTCTAATGATTAACTCGTAACGGCCGCTCATTATGAACAAATCGCTACTGTTCAGTAGTAATAATCATGTGAGTGTATGTAACATGTCATAGACAGATTTTTAATGAACGATACTGGCTGTAGAAGAAATTTTATTCACATCTCTTGCTAAGTAGATTCACATTTTGCTCTCTGACTGGCAAGAAAGCGCATAAGGACCAGATAAGGACATAAGAGCACTATATGGTGGTGAGCAGGCCATCAGCAGCATTGCTCCGACGCTCCATGCTAAAATACAAGATAATAATATTCAAAGATAGTAGCTTCAAAAGCGACCTTCATCTTTTGTTTGTGAAACAACTGTCTAAGTGTTTAATTTCAGCAAAATGTGTGTAGCATTGATTATTACAAACTTAGTGTGTCTGAAGTGCAACAACAAGTTCTCAAAGATCTAAAGTTTGAAACAGATTTACGTAAGCGTCAAGCTGTATAAGCAAATAACTGTGAAAATTATTTTTAACATTTCGGAAAAACTCTGAATTTAATTAATTATAGATAGAGCAACCATATAATATAAAGAATGTGACACATCAAACTGTTGTGTCACATCCTTTTTGGAAAAAGTGTTCCTTTGCTTTGGGTGGCCCAGTAGTAGAATATGCTACACATTTCTCTCGTAATACAATAAAACGTTGGATAAGCTACAGGTGGGTACTGGTTTGAATTAAATACTACGTAATCGAAACAAAATAACTTGAGTTACTCCTTTCTGAAATTATTTATTTGAGAAACTTTACTTATCTTTGGGCTTATAACGTGTTCACATAATCAAGCGGCTAAAAA